CATTTGAATTAAGTCTTTTTTTAAACAGTTCTTCTGCCAAAAAATGAACGGATTTGGCCAAATAAATGGCCTCTGAATCAAGATGTAGCTTCCTAAAAAAGAAAAATAACCAAAAATATTATTTTAAAGTTCAGCCATTTGACTTAATCCCGGCCTGTAATGCACAGTGGAGCAACTGTTAATATACACCTATTTCAGAAAACGTTGTCATAGCCAGGGCACAGTCCATAGTCAGTTAATCCTCTGCGACAGGATTAACCATTTTTTCTCAGAGTTGACTTCTGGTTTCGTTCCTCTTTGCCCTGAGAATGTCAACGATATCCCTATGGAGGACATCCCTGACAGCCTTGGACAAAATAGCTCTGGCTATTTTTGCGGACTTCAGAAAGGGATTCGATCTAATCGATCATACAATTCTATTGGACAAACTTCGTGGGTATGACCTTCATCCAAGCATGCTACGCTGGATTGCTGCGTTCCTTGAAGGTCGTTCTCAATATGTGAGAATATCATCCTCTTTGTCGTCAACTCTTTACTGCAACGGTGGTATTCCACAGGGCACTAAACTAAGCCCTGTCTTGTTTGTTTAACCTTGCCTTATCCTTATAAAGAAGGACTGCATGTGCAAGTTTTCGGCTTTTTCTTTGCCATTTCGAAAATTGTTGCTGATATCTTTAAGTTAGACTTATTAGGATGAAATGTCTGAATCTGAATCCGCTAGAAGAAACGTGAACACGCTAAAGGAAGAAAGTCAAAGAAAACTACACAAAAACGTTTTTAGGATTTTTAGATCGCGAAGTTTCAAGAGTTTATTTCTTCCACTGGCGCTATTTCTGAAATTTATTGATATACAAACTTCAAGTCTACGTAAAATGGCTAAGTGGCCGAGTAGAGAATAGTAAATTGAAATGTGTTCCCTCGTGCCGCCTACGGTATATTGAACTCCTTCGACACGAACGGGTATATAGCTATTTCAAAAAAGGTTGTCGGAAAAAATGGCGAATGTCAATTATCGAACGGCGATTGCACGACCGAAAGTAGTCATGGGTTTCGCTCGGTGTAATAAAATAACAACTGATTTATACTGTAGGATGGTCTCTTGTAAACATTGGCTCCATTTAGTCTCCATTACTATGTAAGGTGAATCCAATCAGTGAAATTTTGTTTATTAAAACAGTGTAACCATAGTCCTTTTCGGTCGAGCAATATTCCTTCGACAATCGCCATTTGCCGTTCTCCCCGACAACGTTTTTTGAAATAGCTGTATATGAAAAATACTGCACTGGCTTGTTAAAATTTTCTAAAAGCTCCAGAGAAAATCTTTTTGAAATGTTTCCCGTAAATATTGCTTTAAAAGCCATAAGATTCCATCGAGTGTTCCTTGAAAGTGATATACGTTATTTGAGTATACTGATATACCTTTCATATCTTTCTTTATGGTGTATAATTTTCTGTGCGAAATAACTACTCATTGATATAAGAATTGTGCGAACGGTTCGAAACTTGGGGCGAAACGACTTGAGCGAACATTCTTTTGTGCGAAATAATAAATAATTATATATTCACTTTCAGTTATTCAATTCAAAATTCTCAGTCTAGCAAATGCAGCTTTGAAGCTCATTTGACGGTTTGAAAACGTGGAATATTTTTCAAGGAAAATGTCTCATGGCAAGACTTGTTCAATCAGGGTTTATTACCCGCAATGGTAATATTAGTAGTGTTTGCCGCCATTGAATTCAAGCCACATAGGCAAATATATCTTGAATATATTAATTACGCATGGAAATCCCGAGATTCTTTGCAGCTCAAGACTGTGGACTGTGTCCTGGTGACGACAACGTTTTTGAAATAGGTGTATATGCATGCAATAATTGGTAGGAGATGATTCTATTGCACCCAAAATCACCAGATTCCCCTCGCTACCTGTTTTTGTTTTGTTTTTGCTATGTTTTTTTGTATGTGTGTCTTTTTTTAACAAGAGCTAAAGCGCAAAAAGCGTATCATTTTTATCATGAAATTCATTTATCTACAGTCACTGTGTACTTCCATGTCCAGACCTTTCAGACAGCTCTGTTTTAATCCTTTCAGTGATACTGGTCAAAGACTTTTCCACAGCCATCTAAACAACACGTCGGTTAATATATAGTTTTTAGGAAACAAGTGATGACAATAACAAATTCAATTCAAATCGTAGAACATTGAAGCAACCGAGTGAGTTTCCATTGAAAATGAAAAAAATATAAAATACCTCAGTTTGTGATTAGATTGACTAGAAAACAAAAAGTGAAAAGTGTGCTGTTACGTATGTCACATGTCACGTGTTAATCATTTACATATTATATTACAATGTTGTACTAGTCGTAAAGAACAGAAAACTCGACCTCTTGTGCTTTATTCTTCTAAACCGTTATAGTGCTATACCGACTATAAACGGTCAGAGGAAAACTACTCTAAGGCTAGACATTATCTTTACCTTAGTAGAGCATACGATTTCTGCCCTAATTTTAAAGCCCAGTGCAGTACAAACGTCTTCAATAGCAAAAATATTGTTGTTAGCAAATCCATCAAAATCATCAATTGGAATGTAGTACAGGAAAAGCCTTTGAAAATATGGATCCATGGGAAACATGAGCTTTGCTTTGGAAAAGAGGGACTCCAATCTGCATTAAAAGAATTTAATTGTCAATAACATTAATTAGCATTAATTCCCATTATTAAGGTGGATTATCATCTCCAAATCGGTTATTTGATGTTCGTCTCATACCATTGATTCTACCAAGGAATTGACTTGAAGCTGAAAAACCTCTAATAAAAGCAATCATTTCATTCCATTTCAATCCATTGGGATTAAGGGTGCCCTATACACATATAAAACATTTCCATTTACAGCCTCTACTTGCCTTTTGTTTGGCTTGTAGACACTGAGATTCTTTGTAAGGAACCATGCTTGAGCTGACTTTCTTTCGTCATTATTACCAAGTTTTTCGAATGGCTTCATGTCTTTGCACAAAAAATGGAGAACTGGCACAGCAAGGATGATATCTGGGCAAAACCTCCCAGAAAATGCCTTTTCGTTTGCGATGTCCATCAAATGGACAATGGCCTGGGAAAACTCCCTGTAAAATATTGTTGTACAAAATCATATGTTTCATATACTCAGTAAATTCAAGTATTTTTTGTACAATAGTAAGATCATGATAATTTCAATAATAAGAGAGTTTTCAATGGCTTTCCATGATCTTCAGCAACGACCAATATTATTACTTATTATTATCTTACTTATGAAATTCCAATTCTCAAGATATTAAAAAATATTATTTTTAAAACGCAAACGAGCACTAAATGCAAAAACAATGTTACAATGTTAAGGTTATTCCTTTTCAATTGTCTAGAATACACATACCCCCAACTGCCTTCAGGTATTTCGAGGTGAACATCATCAAAATCACATCTATCATGACTGCTTGCTTCGAGTACCAGACACTGGATAATATTTGTAAGTTCACTATACAAGAAGTCCAATTTAAAGTACCATAACAAGTAGGTAATTGACAAACTTGATATTAATCTATCAAAGCGAGCTTTGGGGCTTTTGAGGTCCTCATTTTTTAGGCTAGCATTCTGATGGATCTTGGGCTTCAGAAAATCTTGCAGAATCTTGAAAACAATTTTTGTATTTTGCGTTAACATCATTCATAGTTTCAATTAAAAGCAACTGGATTTCTGATTTCATTTTTGTGACTTTCAAACAATTGCTTCGGAGAAAAAATCATTCGTTTGCCAAACGTTTGCTGACCATATATGGTAATTTACCTTATAAGGAAGTACGTTATAAAGTTTTTTTCAAATGTTTTTCCACCTTTTAGTGCTTTAAAATGGCTAAAACTCACAGAATTTGCAGAGAAATTGCTTTTCAATATGTCGGCCATTATAATTTTGTCCTGTCCTTCCCATCCTTGAAAATAAGGAATCCCACAAAAAACACAGGTAGCCCGCGCGAATGTTAGACAATTGTTTGATATGAAACTTTGAGTGAAGATGTTACATGTATATGTGAGTTACTAGATATCATATTATAATGCTTCCTAAATACAATCAGCAAGTATATCCCACAAATAATATTTATATTTTGTTGACAAGGGTAAGGTACTTTTGTTTTTTTAACAATTTATCATTGATTAATTTGTCTGAAGAACTTGCTAAACTTTGTATAATCTGTCTTTGAATACAGTCATTTTGGCTATAACTATATATAAATATATCAGTCAGCTGATATTACAAAGTTAAACCTTGAACCTGTTATCAAACTGAATAACTTTAAACAAGCATCATTTTAAAGAGTTTGATTAATTTGCAATCTTATATAAATGATTTATGTAAGCTGACAGAATAGTAAAATTATTGCGCATGAGCATCACTAAAATGTTTTATAATTGCACTTCACCTTGTTAAAATTAAAACGCTGCTTGTCAACTTTTGGAGAAGTCAGTTTATATCCAAGAGAAATACGAGGATTTGTTAGACATTCCTTTAAAAGTTTCACTTTTTTAAGAGCTTCAACAGCAGTCATCCTCTCAACATCCCCATTAACAAAGCCAACCCATCTGGGAAGAAATACCCTGGTCGCATTTTCTTTATTTCTCAACACTTCTTTCTCTTCAAACTTTCCATCAGAGGAGAAGAAACTTTTGACATGAATTTTGACTTGTTTCCACAGACTTGGGTTCGGCTTTGGATAGATGACACCATCATATTGGTACCATGTAGCTGCAAATATTTATTGTAGTTAATGAATGAGCCTCTAATACTTTTCAACATTGTTGTGTATTGTACACATAATGCAATGCGAACTAGAGAAATAAAGTGTGTGAGCTATGTTGTAGTTTCATGGAGTATTACATTGGCAACGAGGATTAAATACGGAACAAAGAGATTAGATTATATTACATGACGATTAGATTAGGATTAGATTCAAAGAAGAAATAAGGAGGTTCACTCTGATGTATTACAAGGATGTGCAGGAGCATCCAACATGGCTGATGACATCATTGTTTATGGAACAACGATTTGAGGAACATGTCAAGAACCTCTACAAAGTCCTGCCACGATTGAAAGACAAAGGTCGAAAACTGAACAGAGACAAATGTCAATTACGTCTGCACAAACTTACTTACTTTGGTCATGAGCTGAGTGGAAGAGGAATGTTTGCCAGCGAAGAAAAGGTTGCTGCGGTGGTGATTACAATACCACCCCAGAACATTGCGGAGGTGAAGTAATTTGTACAACTACTTTAGTATTCATCAAAGTTCATACCAGACTTTGATACAGTAGCAGAGCCACTGAGAAAGTTAACCCATAAGGAACAGGCATTCACATGGGGCAAAGAGCAGGAGAAGTCATTTCAGGAGTTAAAGTGTTTGATGAAGAATGCCGAAGTGCTAGCCTACTTCAAGAATGAGTGCAAGACACGTATAGTTGCTGATGCTAGTCCTACTGGAATTGGAGCTGTCCTACTACAATGTCTAGATGGCGAATGGAGAGCAGTCTCGTATGCATCTAGGAACCTGACCGATGTGGAGAGATGATATTCTCAAAAAAAGAAAGAACCTTTGACGCTAGTGTGGTCATGTGAAAAATTCAACATATATGTTTATGGTCGTGAATTTGAGCTGGAGACAGACCACAAGCCTTTGGAGTGTATCTTCAGCAGAACCTCCAAGATGTCTGCCCGTATTGAGAGGTGGGTGTTACGAATGCAGGGATACAGGTATCATGTAGTATACCATCCAGGAAAAACCTACATTGCAGATTGTCTCTCAAGACTCAACCAGGCAAATGGAAAGGATCCAAGTGGTGCGACGGAAGATTTCATTCGACTGATTGCAGCTGAGAACACTCCCTGTGTGATGAACGGGAATCTGAGAAAGACCCCGAGCTGGAGAGTATAAGGAAATATATATCTAGTCTGGAGACTGGACTGAATGTAAGCTACCAAGTTATTTACATGTCAAGGATGAACTGTGTGTGTTAATAAAGCTTGTGATGAGAGGCTCACGAGTTGTTATTCCAAAAAGCCTGCGAGAACAAGTACTTAAATTAGCACATGAGGAGCATCAAGGTATAGTGACAACGAAGAGCCGACTAAGAACAAAGGTATGGTGGCCCAAAATAGACTCAGATGCTGAGAGGCTTTGCAAGTCATATCATGGATGCCAAGTCGTTGGACAGTTTCAACCTCCTGAGCCTATGAAGTGTGCAGAGTTTCCAACAGGACCATGTCAGGGTGTAGCTGCTGATTTGATGGGACCACTCCCATCAGGGGAGAACATTGTAGCTGTAGTGGACTACTACAGCAGATTTTTTGAGGTGACCATCATGCATTCTGCAACGACACCAAATATTATAAGTGCTCTAGACGAGATGTTCTGCAGACTGATATGGATTCCCATTCAGTATAAAAACAGACATTGGACCCCAGTTCAGATGTCAGGACTCAAACGATTATCTAGCTGATCATGGTATTGAGCACCGTAAGTCTCCACCCTTATGGCCACAAGCCAATGGAGAAGTCGAAAGACAGAACAGAACCCTACTCAAGTCCTTGAGAATAGCTCAAGTCAAGAAAAAACCATGGAGAGGTGAGCTCAAGAAGTTTTTATTTGCATACAGGTCTACTCCACACAGTGCCACAGTAGTTACACCTGCAAGTCTTATGTTTGGTTGAGAACTGAGGACAAAGTTACCAGAACGTAGACAGGACAAGAGAGTTGTGGACGAAAGTGTTAGAGACAGAGAGTGGAACTGCAGACAAAGCAATAAGACACAGCAAGACCAGAGACGGGAGCAATTCCCAGCAACATTAGCCCTGGAGATAAAGTTCTTGTGAAAGAAAAAAAGACAACTGGAAAGTTAACACCAAACTTTGAGAAAGTCCCACTTACAGTGATCTGTAAGAAAGGAGCAGAAGTTACTGTTCAGGCTGATGATGGAACTGAATTCAAAAGGAACAGTCGTTTTGTGAAACCATATATTGGAGAGAAGAAAGAAGAACCCATCAAAGCAGTGGAAACTGGCCCAATTGAACGACCCAGAAGAGAAGAGGGCCAGAAAGATTAAAGGACTATATTCTATTAGTGTTGTAGACACTGGCTTTGTGCACAATTGCACATTAGAAACTTTGCCTCACTTGAGGATATGAACTGTTTACATGTTATTTTGATAGTGTTAAAAAAAGAAAGAGGGATGTTGTGTATTGTACCCATAATGCAATGTGAACTAGAGAAATAAAGTGTGTGAGCTATGTTGTAGTTTCATGGAGTATTACAAACATCACGACACAACATCTGTCCACATACCACTATTTCAGACTATTTATCAAATTACCATTACCACAACATCCACTTTGTGCATATGTTACCACTATTAATCAAATTAATACTGTATTACCAAAATATCAACTTCTGTGCACCATACCATCAAATTACTATTACCACTTCACCATGAAATGTCCACGATTTGTTTGTTTTTGTTTGTTTGTTTGTTTGTTTGTTTGAATGTTTTTTTGACGGGTAAATCTCATAAAGAGATCTTTTGACAAATTAATTCATTTACCATTTCTGCATCTGTAATACTCATGTATTGAGAGAGAACGGTTGACATAATCTGGATGATGGTAATCGTCTGAAAATTCTGACTGCTCCCAAAGAACTTTATTCTCACTAACTCGAACAATATACTTATATGGAATTGGCTTTTCCAGCAGTCTAACAGGAAGTACAATCTCTCCTTGCACCAATACAAATTCATCCTTCAGTTTTCTAAATATAAGGAAAAGAATTCTAACATTAGTTTGCAAATTTCACTGCAGAAAACTTACTTCAAATGGCATCTTAAGATGGCCAGATGCATTAATATGTTCTCAAGTGCGTTAAGGCTTGGTTCACATCATAGTTAGTAGAGGGGAATGGTTRGGAAGACCGGCGAAGATCAAAGGAGAAGGTACACAGCTGACAGAACTTAACTCTATCCAGTTAAAAAATTATTCTTTAAACATATTACTATGCCTGGCGATAATTGCTCAGTATTCGGTTGTGGAACTTGTCGTCGACCTAAAGGACATGTGACCAAGTACGTTCAACCTCTAAAGCAAAACAATAGACCAACCCTTTGATCTTCGCCGGTCTTCCTAACCATTCCCCTCTAATAACTATGCTACGTTCACAACCAATTTTCAGAAAAAACTGTCTTATTATATAAGGCAACTAAACTAGATAATGACTTAGATGCACTGTCCATGTTTGATTGCGAAATGCATCTCGGCAATATTATGAATTTCCAAAAAATATTTTGTCCGACAAAATGAATTTTATGGCGAAAAAAGATTACATTTAGCAATATTTAATCATGTTAGTTTACTTCCGGTGACGTCAGCTTCCGGTGGTAGGGTAGAAGTGATTCTATTAATTGAGATGCCCTCTAGGTTTTTGTTTTTCACACCCAACCAACAGCAGGGACATTTGTCTGCGCATGCGTGAGTCAAATAGAATACATGCCGCGCGGTATACCTGTGTCTGGCGGGAAACTTTGAAGATGTAAGTAAACATGGCGAAGGCTATGTTGAGAGCCAGTGTCCTCTCTTTTGTATTCATTTGCGTGTGTTTTACTCTTCCCATGAATAATGAAAGAAGACGTTTTGTATGTAGATGAAACTGTGCAAAAATAGTCCAATTTAGGGTAAGTTTAAGAACTTGTTTCGGCATAAATACGAGCAGTGATTAAATTATTCTACTCGAAGGTGGAAATTTTTACTAAATTCGCACGTCTTTGTACGTTGATTTGAGATATCCACGCAATTTTCAAAGGCGAAATTACAATTC